TCATCTTCATCTTCATCTTCATCTTCTTCCTCGTCTTGGTCTTCATCTTCTTCTTCATCCTTATCTTTATCTTTTCCTTTATCGTGATCTAAATATGTTCATTCTTTTCTTCATTTACATATTCACCCCCACTAGAGTGGTCCAAAAAAATAAAGTCGGAGTTTTAATGCCGGCACACCCTAGGATTGTTCTATATCGAAAAAAAATGTACCCCTATTTTTTATTTTGAAATCAAAAAATATTTAGGGAGTGCTCAAAGCGCTCAAAGTTTTCCATGTATTTTAAATGGAGAAAAAAACATCTTTTCGTAGAAATAGTGTAGAATTCTTGAAAATCAATATTTTTCGATCGGAAAACTTTACTTATCTTCAGGAGATTCCCAGTAATAATACTCAATTGTTTCTTTAACAATTTTTTCATGGTAATTATATTTTATAGGTCCTCCAAAGTCCTTAGAAAATGCAATGGGAAACCAATAAAAAATCTTTAATCATAAAAAATGCTTAAATAAACAATTGGATATTAATACTGGAAGTCTCCTGAAGAGAACCACAGTTTTACGGTCGAAAAATATTTATTTTCAAGAGTTTTATACCATTTCTACGAAAAATTGTTTTTTCTCCATATAAAATACACGGAAAACTTTGAGCGCTTTCAGCACTCCCTAAATATTTTTTGATTTCAAAATAAAAAAATATGGGTACAATCCTAGGGGGTGGCGGCATTAAAAATCCGACCTCATTTTTTTTACATACATTTTTGGACCACTTTAACCCCCACCCTTGTTATTAGGTTAGCTATTTATATTTTCCTTCCTCTTTGTCTTTATAGTTAGGTTTCTTTACTTTTATTTTAATTTCTGTATTTATCCCTTTCTTCTTCTCCATACTCAACTTTACCTTCTTCCTTGTTTGAGTCTAATCTATTCATGTACGTACATACATACATCTTATTCCTAAACTGCTGCTTCGCATGTTTCTTTAATTCACTATCAATATTAAAGCATACATTTAGGGGGCATTTCCGCCCTAACCATGTACATGTATGGCATTGGTATTGGTGTGACATTTTAATTGAATTTTTCGCTCTATTTTAAACTAATTTGAAATTTTAAAAAAAGGCCTGCACACCAGCATCAAAATACCTTTCTAATGATATATAATTGTTTATACCTTAGAAGTATAGTTTAGCCGAAAAAGGGGTGTAAAGGAAACATGATTGCCTATTTATATAATTGATATGAAAAATACTTTGTGTAAAGATATTATATTTTATTTTTGCTCTAATTTTACTACATCCGTGATAGCAGAATATGGTAGGACAGTTGCATAGCTTGGGTGTTATGGAATGAAATGCAATAATAATTTTTTTGGTACAGCAGGTGTTTTTATTTAGGTTAAATATCTCTAATAAATTATATAGTAGAAGAAATACCAATGTTATAATATTTAAATTTTAACTATCCAATTTCTTACGAATAATAACTCTAATATTTTTTCACAGCATGTTTTTGATAGTTCAAAGCATCTATTAACATAAATGCATTTTCCAATGTAATTTTTTCGTCATGGCGTACATTATTTTCGATAAAGTTTTGGGTTTTACTTTCAGGTATTCTTGTTGATTGTCATTGCAAAGCTAAGTGAACTGGAAACTGAAGTCTTTTAAATTCGAAAGGCATATCATAAGGAATTAAAGGGGTCATGTGACTTGTGGTTACGAAGTTATGGCTGATAAAAAATTCCACGCCTATATTATGTGCCACGCCCCCATTTACAAACTCATTTATATATACCTTACTATAAGCACCTACCATAGATATGTTTGCATAGTAAATTTCAAGTTCATGTGACTTATGGTTCCGAAGTTATAGCTGATTAAAAATTTGCAAGCCTATGGGAGGTACCACGCCCCCTCGCAAAATTTACACCATATTTACAAATAAAACCACACCTATAACCTTCCCGTGGTAAAAACAAATAAGTGTGCGAAGTTTCGTGCGATTCCGTGCCGTGGTTCAAAAGTTATAAGGTAATCAAACAGACATTCACATTTATATATATAGATTGTGTGAGTGCTTTATCTATATCATGAGTTATTATTAAGCAGTATTGGTCTTGTCCCACCCGTGACAAAAAAGGTAAAAGTTGTTATATTTACTTAAAGAAGTTGAGTTTCGGGTTTGTTACATAATGTTAGAACTTCATTGTCAATGTTTACCACAATTGCATTTTCGTTTCCACATAGTTAGATAAGAATAATTCAACAGTCAAGCATGTCCCACCCGTGACAGCTACGGTACAGTGGTACAGTTGCCAAAGGTAGGTTTACAGGACTTGTAAGCTTTACTGGTTTGTTGAGGTGGACGCATGGGAGACGGGCGGAAGCGCGGACTCGCCCATTACCAATATACCCTTGTGGTCAGCTGATTAAGTTAAGTGACATTTTAACCAGTTTAGGTTTTATCTTTTGTTTATTTAATGTTCATGGTATTTTTTATAAAAGTCTAGCACATTATATAACCAGAACCACATAACACCACATTTCAAACTTCGTACACAAATTATAAATTTCAACAAATTTTAACAGTTACACCCAAAAATTTTAAACTTTTTGTTCATAAATTTTAGAAAAATTCTAGGTATGCAGTTTTATAGCGTATTAAATTTAAGTAGGAAAAAGTGAAAATTTCAAGACGCTAGGAGATCGCGTTGATTTTTTAGCGCGATTTTTTAGCTGACGGTGCTAGGCTTTTTCTTCTATATAAAAGGCACTATACTAAGATAAAACGTGAGTGAATTGAACCCCTACTTGGCTTCTATATTTTTTAATAACTAATCTTTAATATGGACGACACTAAAAGCTCCTTTTCATGTAAAAATTTGTTCGTGTCCCACTCGTGACCAGCGTTGCCAGGTTGACTTTTTATCGTCATTTGGACGTTTTTTGTATCCTGTTGACGTTTGGACGTTTTTATGTCAAAAAATGACGTTTTTTAAATTCCCAGTTATTTTTTCTCTGTTACTAAATCTTGTAAGTAGAACTGAATTATTTTCTTAATAAATCTTTACAAGCTTTGTTTTTTGCAGCAGCTGCTTCAAAAAATATTTATCGTTTGGACACAAATGACTTAACCCTTATTTAAGCGCATAAAGAAAATGACACAATTAGTCGCATGGGGCCTCTTATTGAAAATGTAAAGAACGTAAAAAGGATGAAATATTGCTATGTTCTTTCTTAACAGAACGTAATTTAGCATTTTCGACAACCGACCACTTAACCAAATGTCTACAAGAAAAAAAAATTCAATAAAACTTGCCCTGGAATTTAATGGGCTATCAACCTGCATACTCAAAAAAATTATAAAAAATCCAAATAAAAAGTTGAAAATCTAGGTGAAATTTTGCATATTTTTTTATAATTTTTGCACAAAGTTTGGCTTTGGATTTATATTTGGTTTGTTATATAATGAGCTAGGCTTTTATGGAATCATAATAAACATTAAATAAACAAAAAAGGAACAGCCAAAATCGATGACTTAATCAGCTGATCACAAGTGTATGTATAAAATGATTTTTATGTTAATGATCTCAAACCAGTTTAGAATGAATTTTAAATGTGACAGAGCAAATGACATTTTAATATGCCTTACGTACATATGTATGTACCTTTGTACACAATAAAAGTTGAATAAGAACAATTCTTTGTGCAAACATTTGAAAAAGACGTTTTTGCGTAGGAAATTACGTTTTTTCAGACCAAGGGGGACGTTTTCTCATGCCGAAGACCTGGCAACACTGCTCGTGACAGAAAAATTTCGGATTTTTTTATAATAAAGCCATCCTTTTTGTTGTAGTTTTTGCTTTGTTTGCATTCGTGGTTCTTTGTTTTATTATAAGACATCAAGCTCATACAGTAAAGTGAAATAAATTCGCAGAGTTTTCGTAAAATATATGAGTAGTCCACTTGCAAAGTGCTCTATGTAAAATTTTTTCGTTTTTTAGTTTTTGGTGGTTAACGTACCAGTATTTAAAGTAGTTTCATGACCACTAATAATACAGTGCAAAATCCTTATATATTCTGAAAAAAATAGCATCAAATGTTAGCTACTCGAGCAACAGTCGCTATAATACTTACTGTATGTATATATACACTTTCAAAAGTCGCTATAATATTTATGTATGTATTTATACAAGTTCGAAAGTCTCCATCTTCTGATGAACTTAGAAAACTGCAAGAAAACGTGGTAGTTTCGGTGCCTATTTGAAGACGTCGTAAAAAAGAAGTAGACCAATCTTCATGGAAGAGAGAACGCGAAAAGCTAAAAAAAGCTAGCTATGTAACAGTTACTGTTTCAAAACCCGCTATATTAATTTTTTTATATATAAAATTTGCAAAAACTACCACACTGCGGTTTTGTTTTTTAGTGTTATTAGACTCTTATTTATCCAAGTTTTCAGATAATAAAAAAAAGATACAATTTGGATTTTACTTATTGGTGTACACGTTTTTTTAAATTTATGGCTTTCTATTATAAAATCACATAACGCTGTTTGCAAGTGGACTACTCATATCTGCTCCCAAAAGCAGGTTCTTTTTTTTTTGTCCCCCCCCGTGACAGAAGAAATAACTCAGATTTTTGCCATATAAAAGTAAGCTGGCATTTTTTTCGTATTTTGTAATAACTCATATAATAGTCAATTAGGTGTAGCTTTATCAAAATGCAGAATTGTTCAGTATTTTATACTTAAATTTAAACAAGAAAGAACCCGTGACGGTGGAATCGCCTATATGTATTGTGATTTGCACTTCAATATAAAAAATTTTAGCAGCTCTGCTTTAAAACATCAACTCACCTTCAGTATTGAGCTCATTAAGCTGCACTCTTTTGGTGTCAATGGGTAGCGATCGTACGGATTTACAAGCGCTACATACTCCGGTAGAAAGGTAGTTTTTTAGAGTACACTGGCTGCAGGTCCAAAATTCACCTTTTCTTAAAGTCATGTCCTCAACTGAGCAAATACTTCGCAACTTTGAACCTCCACACACTGCGCAGGCGACTGCGGTTGGATCGTTTACCAATGTACACTTTTTGCACGTCCATTGAGTTTCATTCCGATCTAATTCGGGAATAATCAAAATATAATTATTGAAGACTTTTTCAACAGCATTTTGGTAATCTGAGCTAATTATATCGTTTAATATTGGATCATATTACACATATTTATATATGATACCATCAATTCATATGTATGTACACAAGAACAATTAAAAAATATATGAGGGGATTTTTTTTAAACCAGTCACCCCCTCGTATTTTTTGTTGTGGGGGATAAATGTTTTGAGCACATGATACAAATTTGAACTGTAAATTTTGATGCCGTGGTCTGAATAGAGAATCTAGCGGGACAAAAAAACTATTTTAACAGATTCGCGTGATGGATTTGTACACCACTTCGTATCTACTAGATAGTTCGTGGGGCCGCTGATTACATATCATAAGACATAAAGACATTATAATATTTATACAATAATAAATTATGCAACAAATAATTACTTAGCAGCACTAGCGACAAAGGCTTTCGGCTGTCTCTATATTAGTAATAAGGTTAATATTTGTTTAGCTACTGCTCTTATATGCGTCTCCACAAATCGGTGACTTTCAGAAATTTGTTTAGCTTATTAATGTTACCAGTTGTTGAACCTCTCAGGATATCATGTAGGATAGTATCGATAATTTGACATTCTACTAAGATGTGCTTAATTGAAGGATATGACCATGTGTTATAATGGTGTGTCCAAGATGTAGGCGGATGAAAGGTTTTGTCATTGGAAGAGGGATGTCGGGAGCAAGGTTTATCCGTGTTCTAGATGGATTAATAACATTATAGTGGTGCCTGTAAGTTTTCCAGCTGTCTATTAAATCTTTGTGTCTTTCTTTGGCAACTGCGGTTAAGATATCACTCTTGGTTATATAATTGCACATAATGTAAATATGGCATATTGGCAACACTTTTGGCTGCGATGTCAGCGTTTTCATTTCCGGTGATCCCTACGTGTCACTATGGTCTGGCAGCTACTATTTGCTGGCCATAAGTCATTTTTTAAAGTATCGATAAATTGATTTTTTTTTGTCGCTTCACTAAAACAATTCTCCAGATTAAAAAAAGTGTATACTCATGATTTTCTTAAAGAGTTTTCCCGCTGAGATTTCAGCTGTTAAAGTTGACATTTCTACTAAAAGTTCACATATTTATTTCTCTCGTAGTCGGTATTCTTCTGGCTCGATATGTTGAGAAAGATACTTCAAAAAAGAGAATGGAAATGAATAACGAAGGTACTAAATATTTGAGTGATTAATAAAAAAGAAAACTAACATATAGCTTCCTAAATAAAATAAAACTAATTTTCAAAATGTACTCTAATTTGGGTAACAATCTCCCACTTTAAGTAGAGCTATAAAAAATTGGCTTCATTTGGCGGTCTTCAAGCTTTGTGGGCAATAAAAATGTTAAATTTAGAGTTTGTGGGCTGAGAATCACGTTGCACTTTTTTGCATTTTTTGAATAATGGGCTTTTTTATTAGAAAACTTCCACTGTGTTTTGCTATTCTTTTCGATGTTTGAAAAGCAGTAGTCACCAAAGATGCAAAAAACTGCTGTTTTAAACATTTTGCTGCGAAATATTATTAAAGGGAGCCAATCCGAAGAAATACATAAAAGAAATAGCATGAATGATATGCAAGCACGTAGGTGAAAAATGCATTCTTGCATTGTTTCGTTTAAACTTGTACGTTACTTTATTTTTTCAGCTTTATATCTAGCATAGTTATTAGTAATATATTTGTTGTGCTAGTGTCCTTTCAAATAAATACAAATATAAGCTTATATTTAGAGGAAAAATATTTATTATTTTATTTTATTATTATTTATTTATTATTTGAAGCAGCTATGATTAGAAAAAAATATATAGCAAAAACTAAACAAATTTTTTAAGCTAAACTTTTTTTCCGATAACGCCATATTGGATCCGCCATTCTCAATTTCAAAAATCTTAAATCAGATTCGAAATCATCGAATTCGAAAACCCCCCTTATACATAAACTTTTGGTGAACACAAAAAAAAATATAAAATTTGGTAGCGATTTGGATCCGCCATTTTGAATTTAAAAAATAATAAAAAAAAACTTTTTAATATACAATTCTTTTGTAAATGGACTAAAAAGTAGGAAATAGTATTTCTCAGTCCCATAGAATTTGTTTTGATAACTTTTGATTTAGAAATTTTAGCAAAAGTTTGTAAACCATTTATGAGATTGAAAATGAAAAGCGTGGGGCGCATGCAATACAAAGCATTAGATTCAATTGACAATAGTCAAACTACATAACATAGACCAAAAATTTCTACAGAGATAGTACAAATTTGAGATCGATTTTAAGCGGTCGTTATTCATATGTCCACATACATACATACATATATTACCCTTCATATCAATTCAGGTCTATTACATGCGCCCCACGCTTTTCATTTTCAATCTCATAAATGGTTTATAATAACTTTTGCTAAAATTTCAAAATCAAAAGTTATTAAAACAAATTCTATGGCACTGAGAAATATTATTTTCTACTTTTTAGTCCATTTATAAAAGCGTTGTATATTAAAAAGTTTTTTTATATTATTTATTTTCTACTTTATAGTCTTGTCTGTATAAAATTTTGCAATAGATATTAAAATAATTCAACGATATTAATAGATTGGTGCACACACATGCATATACATATGCATGTGCATACATACGAGCATCAATTAATTTCATTTAAAGAAATGGCGTGTCGTCCATTTCCGCTGTAGCGTACGTAGTGCATAGGGCGATATCTACCTCTCGACTTCGTCGGTTGAGAGGTAGATATGGCCCTATGCACTAGGCTTTTTTATAGGATCTTTGCAAAGCAAAGGTTTTATAGCAATGAATGGTGTCTGGACACACAACATTGCAGGTTGATAAAAGCGTTGTAAAATCTGCTATCAGATTCCAAATCAGCGCCCTCGAAAACCCCCCATTTATATGAGTTTATGCTGAAAAGGAAAAATGATAAAATTTGGTCGCCATATTGGATCTGCCATTTTAAATTCCAAAAATCCTACATCAGATCCGAAATCAGCGATCTTGAAACCCCCGCGTATGTATAAGTTTTTGGTGAAAGGAAAAGAAGTATAAAATTTGGTCGCCATATTGTATCCGCTATTTTGAACTTCGAAAATCCGACATTATACTTGAAATCAAATCAATTACTTCTCGACTTTTGGCCAGCAAATGATAGTCGCCAGACTATCCCGGGAGTCCACATTAACTTTATTTTTCTGGGATTGGTTATTACGGTATTGCGGATGATGACTATTTCATTCTGATGATTAGCGGCAGATTCAATAGCATCAATGCAAGCATTGCTGTCAGTGCAAATAATAAACTTGCCTCTGTTGTGTTTAGCATAGTCGATTGCTTCGAGAATGGCGGTCAGTTCTGCAGTGAAAACTGAGCATATATGGTGTAGTATGTCATGGCGTAATAAATCCCTATTTTCTTTTGTTACTGCAAAAGAAGTGTTGTCGGGAGTTTTCGAGCCATCTATGAATGAGAAATTCCATCCGTTGCTATTGTATAACGCTTTTTCTTTCGCAAATATTGCCTTAAATTTTTCTTTTGGTAAGTCTGCCTTTGGTAATTGCAGCGTTTTGATCGTATGCACGCTGTTATTGATCAGCCAGTGCGGGCGAGTCGCACATATTTTGGGTCTCGGCGTTGAGGGGATCTGAAGCTCTTTTAGAAATTTCAAGCAACGATAAATTGCATGTGGGAATCGTGGCTGTATTTTTCTTGGCGTAGCATTGCATGCATCTTTTGCCAGAACGGTATTTGAAGAGAATTTCAGTTTAGGAAGCAAATGACGTGTGCAATCGGTTGTTCTGTCCGCGATCGCGGGCAGACCAGTTTCTGCGAATAGATTTTTCAGCGAGTAGGGAACGCCCTTATACTCCTTCGTATTGCAACAGGTAAGGTGTAGAAAGGTTTTTGATTGTAGACGCCGGGCAATGTCCGTAGATAGGAAGCGCGAAATCAATCTTGGAAAGCACCAAGGTTCGGGTAACTTTAATAAGCGTGTGCGGGTGAACGTGACTTTTCTTACACGTAAGATATTTTATTATATTTAACCTTGTCAAAAGAGAGTCTCTGACGAACATACAGTGCTGCTTAAAACTATATTTAGGGTCTATAATTAAACCAATAACTTTGAGTTCTTGAACAATACTTAAATTAAGGTTAGTAAAGATGTTAGTTAGGTCACAGCAAACCCGTTTTTTGCAGATATGTAAAATTTTTGTTTTTTTCTGTTGATATTGTGATACCAGCAAATTCTGACCAAGATGTAAGTTCGGCTAAAATACCTTCAAGTAGTGACTTCACATGCGCTAAATTGTTGTGTTTGGTGTAGAAGACAACGCATCAGCGTAGAGCTGACACTGAATGCCACGGATGCTGGTAGTTTGAAGAACAATTTCATCAAATGATATGATAAAGAGGAATACCTATATGGGCGACCCTTGAGGGGTACCGTTTTCAAGAGGGACTGTGTTGGAGAGGAAGCCGTTGATTCTGACCTTACATTTCCTGTGGCAGAGAAAGATTTTGATAAGCTGTCTTAAAACAATGGGGATGCCGATCCGGTCAAATGCTTTTTGAAAATCTATTGCAAGTAAGGTGACGTGATTTTTGGCGGATAAGGCGTTTGCTTTAAAATAGTCTAGGTGTAAAAGAGCATCAATGGTTCCAAATCCTTTCTTATAAGCGACTTGATTAGGGCTAATAAGTTTTTTCCTGTTAGCGTACCATGCCAGGCGATTGAGTACAATTTTTTCTAGTAGCTTTCCTAACAAGGCAAAAGGGAGATCGGCCTATAGTTGCTTGCCTCAGTGGGCAGTTTTTTGGGCTTTAATATAGGAACAATGCATGCAGTTTTCCAAAATTTCGGATAGCAGCCACTGTCAAAAATCGGATTGTAAAGGTTAACCGAGTTGGGAAGGTTTTGTATAATGAGGTAGGATATCTTTTTAAACCCGGGTG